GTAGTTTTACACGTATTCATGATTGTTGTTAGTTGCTGTTGTATTTATTCAGGTTAGGTAGTGTGTTTTTATTACTTAACCCTCTGTTGCCTGAGATAAACAAGACTCCAAATTCTTCTAATTTACTGCTTCAGTCCAGCTCAGTGGAGATCAAAATCCAGACATAAATCCGAATAAATTGTGGAGTTTGAAGTTTAGAATGAGGCAATTCTCAGGACTGGAAGAAAGTTTTGTGATCTAGAATTAATAGATTATTTCTGTCCATTTGCAGAGTGAATTTTGTTTAAGCAGTATTAGGTATTGAGAAAGTCATGTTATTAACTAATGAGGGAAGGAAGACATAAAGGTCACATAGTGACAGTCCGAATGCCACGATATTTGTGGTATCTTGTTTGCTATAGAGTATGTTATGGTCTTTGTGCAGGGCCTGACCTTCAGAAATTCCTTTGTAGGAAATTTCTAGTTACTAGAGAAGTGTCCATGATTGAGAAGCAGAGAAATATTGTAGTCTTTAAAGTTATTTCAATGGCATCTCAGATCAGTCTATAAAAGTATTACTATTTTTTTTACCCATGATGTACTTGAATTATTAAAAGTACATAAGAACCTAGCTACCATGAGACAATTTCTCTTGGCATATCCCTGGAGGCAGGACCGCATTTGAGAGTTGGGATCATTCTAGTCACTGCTGGTATCTACCGGGGGCAGGGTGGAGATGCAGGGGCACTGACAGCTGGTGGTCATTTCTCTTTGGTGACTCAAAGACTGCGAACAAGTACAGGTATATATCACTTAACGCCCATGATCTTTTTCTGTGGAATAGGATAGTAATTCTGTTAAATAGTGGATCATCATATTACAACTTTGTGGAAGTCCGTTTCCAGTTGCTCTCATTACTACTGCTGCTACTGAAGCTGCTGGCAGAAGCTGGCGAAAGGGGTGGGCACCGCTGCAGTGTGGACTGAAAGAAGCTAGTGAGGAGGGAGGGAGCAGAGTGCACTCAGCCCAGCTCACTGTTGTGCAAATCCAAAGCAGGAGCACCCCCTACTCCACCACTTGCCAGAGCCAACGACTCCACACCCAGACCCATGTCTCCTCTGTCTGTATCCCACCTATGGTCCAGGAGTTTGGGTTTGGGGGTCTCTAAAGCCATTAGAGAAATAGTAAACAAAAGGAGATCTGTATTCCCTTTAAGACAACAGTCTAGGACAACAGATGTTTACATGCTTGAACACAGTCTGAACCTACCTGTAGGTAGAATGATTCATGCTATCTTCATATTCCTTTGGCTTTATGCTGTACTCTTACATCCCGTGACATGGTGCATACATTTGCCTGAATTGGCAATGTGGAACAGGCTGTGAAAGTCACCAGAACCTGTTGCCATTGAGTTGACTGTGAATCATAGAGACCCTATAGGACAGAATAGAACTCATCCTTAAGAGTTTCAAGAGCTACAAATCTTTTTATTTTAAACTGTTTTATTAGCACTTCATCCACATGTCATACAATTCAGTAATTTCAAGAAGAGTTATGTAATTGTCATATTGAATTCAAGAACAGTTCCTTCTTCGTTATAGTTATTAAGGCTACAAATCTTAATGGAAACAGACTGCTACATCTTTCTTTCATGGAACAGCTAGTAAGTTAAGCACAGGTAAGCGCTTCTAGGAGGCTTTAAAAAAATTCATAGAAAGATGGAATTCACCCATGGACAAGTAGATGGATTCTGAGCTCCCATGTAATGCTAGTCCCAGTCCAAGAATAGTTAGTTCTTATAATATGGCCCTGCTCAATAGTTGCCTTCATCACCTTCCTGAAGAGATCACTGAAGATAAGGGTGCTACAGCAAAGTGTGGTGAAGAAAGCAGATGGTGCCCACTATCAATTAGAATAGTGTCTGGTGTCTTAAAGGCTTGTATGCAAACAAGTAGCCATTTAAGTGAGGTGCCAACCAAATCCACATTGAAAAGCACACCAGCTTATGTGATCCAGTAATTGTAAATAATAAAATCCAAATTTGAAGGAAGGAATGGTATCAACATAAGTGTGAACACTTGGTTTGCAGAAGTCTATAGATGACAGTGGAAGCCCAAATCCATGGAGTACCATATATACTCATGTATAAGCCTAGTTTTTTTTCAGCACATTTTTTAAATGCTGAAAAAGGCCCCCTCGGCTTGTACTAGAGTGAGGGGCCCACTTTCCTGTTCTCTGCTGCAGTGCGGGTGTTCTCAGGTCTCTCTCGATCATTTGCGGGCGCCTGCAGCCTCTGTGGGTGTTCCAATGACTGCTGGTAGCACCGCTCTTCTTTTCTCCTGCACACCAGCAGCCTCTGTGCTGTCCGTGCCATACTGGGCAAGAAGAACCTGCCCGCTTCTGTGTGCTGGTACCCGGGGCGCAGCGCCTCCTTGTCAGATGAATGTCGGGTGCCGCTGCTCTTCTCCCGCTCTTCTCCAGAGCTGTGACCAATGACGTAGCCTTTACAGTCTTACCCGTGCTTGGTCACGCCCCCTTGTTCCACCCGAGCATTGCTGAATATCTCTCGTCTGGGATATACCGTACGTTTATTTACAGTACTTAGTCTGCTATATTTTATTTTCTTATCAACCCCTATCTGGACCTAGTGTTGACTATGCTTGCCTAGAGCAGCCTGCGTTAGGGCTCATGATATACATGCTGTGTTGTGTAAGCACTGTTACCGCATGTGTTGCATTAGCACTTCCCATAACGTATGCGGTAGCGCTGCGTATGCAGTAACGCAGTGCATGCAGTAACACAGTGCATACACAACGCAGCGTGTGTATTATGAGCCCTAACACAGGCTGCTCCATGCAAACAGTCATGTCATCACATTCTGGAATATCATCAGCAGCGTTAGGCCTCAAACTATATAAGCTGCGTTGTGTACATGTGGGAAGGCAGTGTATGTAGAAATGCAGCGCATGCAGTAACAGTGTGTATAGTTATTGCTGATACCATATTGTTTTTGTTGACGCTCTTTTCCACTTACAGAGCTAGTTTACTGCTTTTCTTTGAAATAAGTATTCAAAAACGTTTAACCTACTGATGCTTCAATTAATGTAATTTTATTGGTATCTATTTTTATTTTGAAATTTACCAGTAGCTGCTGCATTTCCCACCGTAGGCTTATACACAAGTCAATAAGTTTTCTCAGTTTTTTGTGGCAAAATTAGGTGCCTTGGCTTATATATGGGTCGGCTACTACCTGAATATCTACGGTAATTCTCAGATGAACCCCCTCTGAACATAGTCTGGGGATGTAACCAGCCTTGTTATCAGTGCATTTGTAGTCGATTATGGTAGATATAGGTAACAAATACCTTGCTACTTGTTATCTCTTTTGACTCATTTTAAAGTTGTTTTAGTTTTTAATTTCTGCCATCTTTTCAGTTTCTTTAAAAAAATGTTTTGCCTAGTCATTGCTGGGGGAAATGGGGAGCTAACGACAGAATAGTAGAAAATGTTCTGAAAGTAATTGTGGCGATGATTGCCCAGATCTTCTTGATATGATCTTCTGATTGATTGAATAGTATATGTGAAATATATGCCGATAAAACGATTTAATAAAAAAAGATAATGGTTTTTTCACAAACTATTTCAAGCCTCCTAGTATAATGTTTGAAAGTGTTCGAGATCTTATCAAATGACACCCTTTATTTTCTATTGTCTTTCAGAATTAAAGCCATTGAGAGTCCCAACAAAGAAGATGACACCCAGTGGCTAACATACTGGGTCGTATACGGTGTGTTCAGTATTGCCGAATTCTTCTCTGATATCTTCCTGTCATGGTTTCCCTTCTACTACATGCTGAAGGTATGCTGGCTTGTCCTGAACAATTATATTGCTTTTCACTCCCACCACGAAAATAAA